TAATTAATAAGTAACCTTGTTGTGGGCTCGATTCTTCCCCTGCTTGAGAGAATTGTCTGAGCATTAACCAACAAAATTCCATACTGATGACATAGCTCTACAGAGATCCATGTAGTTTGGCTTGGCTTGGATTTTACTTGTGCGCGAAAAATAAAAATCGAGCAACAACCAATCACTACATGGATCTCTGTAGAGCTACGTCATCAGTATAGAATTGATCGGATTGAATCTCAGATGTCTCCGACTGGGAAAAGAATAATTGAGTGTGTGAAGAGAGACGACTGTTTACTCAGGCTAGTTAACAAGGGGGAGGGAGCTGGGGGAGGGAGGGAGCTGGGAGTAAAGGAAACAGGAAGTCTACGGGAGGCGGGAGAAGAGAGGGTGAGAAGGGGGATTCCCAAGGTGGCGGGAACCGGGAAAAATAGGAAAATGTTTCACAACATTGCATAATATTTTGCAATGGAAAAAACACACAGGAGGGAACCACAACGGAAGGGGTGGGAACCAGCAAAAGGTACTGGAAGTGGAAAGTTCTGAGCCCCCCCCCCCCCCCCCCCAACAAGGCGCACTGGTAGAAAAAGTGGGTCAACTGGGTAATTAATTGGAAGAACTTTTGATTGCAAAGTATTTTAACACAACAGTTTAACAATATATAAAAGTTACTGCCACAACCAGGACCTAACAGTATTTAGATTTTTAAATGTTAAAAATCATAATATATAACAAATTAAAAACTTCTTGTCCCTAAAATTTACATTCAATGATAAGCTATCAACACATACTTTGTGTAAATTCATTGATTTTATGATTATTAGAATAATTTAGACTTTTATCTCAGAAAGCTTGTATCAAATGTAATTTGTTTATTTATTCATATGAGAGAAACGTCTTAGGGGAAATAAATTGCATGACTCATTGAATAAAATTCCATTGGTAGAACATAGGGGTTTGATGGGCATACATAATATAACCTAACTGCAGTTATTGAAATTTGTTAATTTGTCACTTTTTACCTATTTTGCTTTGTGTTCTACCAATTTGGGCAAATGTGGAATTTCATTGAGTACTTTTCCAGCCCTGAAAAGCAATTTTATTTTTACAACTTCTGACCTTACCATGCATGTCCAAACCTTACTTAACCTGGGCTTAGTATGTGGATACAATGCAGGCTTATTGTACTGTGTGATATTAACAAAGGTTTGGAGAAGCCCAGCAATTAACTATTAAATAATTTAATTTTATGTCACTATTGTTCGATTCGCATCTGCTATGTAGCAAAAATAATAATTTTGCAATCAACGCTTTATTAAGGTAGTTCTATCTTCTCTGCTTATTTAGCTCTGATTAAGATAATTCTATGATCTAAGAAAATGATTCAGAATGGTTGTTACCCATTTGAGCCCCATAGTCAACATACAAATTCTCCCCACTTTTCTCCATAATTTCTTATACTGTAGTACTAGTTGGGAGAATTTAATCACATATAACATTGATGTGTGCTGTACTGTTGCCACTTGATGAAGATTTTGATTAATTTTTGAGCAACACTTTTTGATGGGTTCCGTTCCAATAAAATATTTAAGACATTTGAAGAGCTCTGGAGTTTATGTTAACGTGGCGCATGATAGATTTCCTGCCACCGGCACGTTGCTATGCCAACTTCGCCTCCACACTTCTTACATTTATTGGTCAGTCACATAAAATGCACCAGAGGTCGAGACTTGTAAAAAGAATGATGTTAACAAGAAGTCAAAGATTAATAAAATAATAAAAAAAACTTCAGCAAGTGCCAATGGTACCGCACTCCTCACTGTTATGTAACTACTCTGTGATAACCATGCTTTACGGTCGGCACACACAAAAAGACTAGTCACAAGTACTTGTCCCAGGAAATCCCTGGTAGTGTTTACACTGGGGACTGGTTGTAGGGACTTATGACAAGACTGTGTCCCACAGACAAGTCAACAACTAGGAGACTTGTTGCAGAGACAGTCCAATTTCGTATTATTTGTCCGCGAGTTTTAGTTGGTCACAGGGACTAGTCCCACGAACAGTGCACGCAAGTTAGTTGGACTATGTTACAGAACTAGTCCCAGGAACAAGTCCCCTCATGTGTTCCGACCTTAATGACCCATAAGCATGATTAATCGAGTATTGATAACTTCTGGAGAAATTGGATACTAAGTATTGCTTGGGATGGCTAGTTAAGATTTCTACTTCCATTTAATTTGACTGCATACACATCATGTACCAATATGGTTTGAATTACCTCATCTAAAAGTCTTCATATGAAAGTCAAAGCTGCTGCTTCACCTGAATTTGCAAATTGTCTACAGTATCTGAATAGTTACAAAACAGTGGAGCCTGTATCCATTTCTTGAGTCAGGAATACAAGATCATCTTTAACAGCTTACTACAGAATGCCTCTCAACATGTTTTAACTTTGCTGTAATTATTTTGCACTGGATAAATCCTCGAGAAAATACGGCACTCAGAGTTTCCTTGTCCCTTGAGAAAATTCACGGAGAATTTTCCTTGCCATTGCAAAATTGTTCTCAGCCACAATAAGTGCCCGGGTGATCTCCTCTCGACTGTAGCCTTGAGCTTGAAGAATTGTAAAATCTTCTTCGTAAAACTGCATGGCGTCCGTGTTTGGGTCGTCATCTGGATATCTGCGCCGTGGTGGCCTGTGATCATCAGATGCTTCTAATTTACTTGGGTCAAAACCCTCTGCACCGTATGTTGGATTACTGTAGCTTTTCGCTTCTGCTCCTGCCCAGCTGTTCCGAGAAATAAGCGCTGGACGAGAAGTTCTATTGTGGAGAATGTCTGAGGTTGAATTCCTGTTGGATGATTCAAAGTCATTATTTTGGACAGTAGTTCTGTCTCTCTGAACATTTGAATATGTAGGATCATCAAGCACATCATCAGTGGATCTTGCCCTCGTGAACGTTGGTGGAGGAACTTTGTTTCTATTGACATGAGCCCGGCGTGGTGCTCCCGAATGACAGCTTTTTGAGCGGACCGGCGGCAGCGCCACAACTAATGGACCCTTTACAAAATCATCATCATCATCATCATACTGGTCGACTTTTGATTTACCAACTGATACAAATGGGTCGTCGGCAAAAGGGTCCGCAACTGACTCCAGGGTAGTTGACGTGTTCTCCTCTAACCCATTCTGTTTGATGTGTCTCTTATTTTTTGATTGTCTTCTGTCTGACATAATAGGAAGGGGAAAATCATATGATGTTGTTTCCTCATTTGGACAAATTTCAGCAAACATGATTTCATTTGTTGTGCTGCTACTGTCCCTGTTATCGGTCTCCGGGCTGTCAGGATGTGGGTAAGCTAGCTGGGCATAATTCGTTCTATTCTCGTTTTGATTTATACAAGGCTCGTGCACCACATTTGAGGCATCAATGTCTGCATATCCAATTGTGTCCCTTCTGTTGCTTTCACTCCTAGCACTAGCAGATCCATTTTTATTTTCCTTGTTCTCCAAACTTCCACCTCTGTGTTTGTACCTCCTCTCTGGCACAGCAGGAGGGCTGTCCTCGTCCGAGTTTACTGGAGGTGGTGGTGGTCGCCCCTTGCGCATCGGTGCAGGGGAGTTCTGTGGTGAACCACATGGAGAGGCGTGGGGTGAAGAGTGTGGAGAGACATTAGGAGATGCAAATGGCGAACTTCTTGGTGAGTTCCTGGGAGAATTCCATGGGGAACTAAATGGTGATGACCTGGACGAGCTCCTTGGAGAACCAAACGGTGATGCACGTGTGACTACAAGGGTCGGGGAGGTAGGCGACTGAAGACCGAGCAGATGATTTCGCCTCTGGGGTAAGGGCGGGGGAGCATCGTCTGAAGACCCAGACTGCCCGTTATCCTCCTGCTGTAAATGAGGATATGCTTCAGCTTGTTCTCCACCTTGTGGAGAAGAACCTGTTATGGAAACCCATTGACTGGGGTCCTGGGAAAAAATATGATCATTAACAATTAGATTACCAGACAGACAGGCAGACAGACAGACACACAGACAGACAGACAATGCAAAGTGCACAGTCAAGAAGAAGGGGGGGGGGGGGGGGGCGATAAATTACTACAAAGTGTCCCAGGAATTCAAGATATTTATCAATACATTTGTTTATTTCTAACCTCCATAATTTCATCTTCTTCAAAGTCAACATGGTTTTCTTGGCTGTCCATAGAGGATCTAAATGACATCTCCTGTTCAAAATGCGGCACAAATGGATCCACGACAATTGTCTGCATATCTTTGATCTCGGCACGACAAAATGGACACCCCTCGCCACCGGTCTCTTGCCACTGCTCCAAGCACATGTGGCACATCAAGTGTCCACATGGTTCAAGGCGTACATCTTTATTATTCTCAGCGCAAATCTTGCAAAGCTGAAAAGTGGAGCCCATCTCACAGTACAGCTCGTACTGTTTCCTCAGTGACGGAGACGTGTTCATCAGGTGGAGTGATCAGATGGTGGCTAACATCCGGGTTGGTTGGTTTGCCGTCTGGGAAGAGGTAACTAAGGAAAATAAAAAAAGGTTAAAGTCTGTCTACAAGCATAGTGGCTTATTAACCCTTTCACTCCCAGAAGCAAGCATCAAGTCAATTATTGTGGTTCTAACTTTTAAGTCTGCGGATGAAACCCTTGTGTGTGACCATTCAAATGAAAGCTATTGACCAGTACTTTCATGTGGTACTGTTTGTTTTTCCATATCTTTCAAAATGAAATTTGGGATTTTTTTTTCAATTTTGAGCTTTGACACTCTTGGGAGTGAAAGGGTTAAGCTGGCACTTAAATCTGGTTTCCACAGCATGAAGCAACTAGGAGTATCGCTACTCCCCTGGATGGGATGCTAGTCCATCACAGGTAACTCCCCAGCATTTTTGTCAGGTTGCCATAACAATGTGCCAGTACCCATTTACTCCTGGGTGGAGAGAGGCACTGTGAGAGTAAAGTGTCTTGTCCAAGAACACAAAACAATGAGCCAGGCCAGGGCTTGAACCCGGACCGCTCAATCCGGAGTCCAACGCGCTAACCATAAGATGACTACGCCTCCTACATTAGTAGTAAACGTATATCATTAAAAGAAAAACCAAGGTTGAAATGAAGAAACCAAAGGAATGATATACTCACTAGCCCTCCCTTGCTCCATCTATTAGCGCCTGACACAGTGACTTGTTCTGAGGAATGGTTTGAAGAATTGTATGCTCTGGTGTAACATATCCTATAGCCCACTGGCCAAGCCTTGTACAACTCAATCTGAAGATGTAACTGTAGACAAAAAATACTGAGTGAGTCGAAACTCCACTAACGGACACCTCCCGTAGACGGACACCTCTCGTGATGGTCATGTTCCCAGCTACATGCAAATACTACAATTTTAACCTCCCATAAGCGGACGCCTCTCTTAAGTGGACACTTTTGCTGGTCCCGAGGGTGTCTGCTTATGGGAGGTTCAACTGTATACAACTTGTTTAGTCGTTTATTGCATATTTCATTTACTGCGCTATCTATCAATGGCCGCTTTCACACTAGAGACGGGAAACTCGTCTGAGACGGGTTGTCCGTCTCAGACGAGTTTCCAGTCCTAGCATGAAAACGGGATGGTTATAATTTTAGACGGGTAACTCGTCTGATTTTACCCGTCTACTTTTCCGTCGCTTTAGGCGGATTTCTAAGATGAGTTTCCTGTCTGCGACGGATAACCCGTCTTAGAAATAAGGAAAGGTAACTGTGCCTCAGCTTCAAAGTGAAATTTACAAGAAGTTAGACTCGTCTCGAATTCACACTAGGACGAGAAACCCGTCAGATGAGTTTTCCATCAAGACGAGTTTCCCGAGTGTGAAAACAGCCATTAACTAAACTCATAAATCCAGAATATTAATTTAAAGTGCTGAAGAATTTGGAAAGTTGGAACATGAGGTTAAAATGTGGATTATCCACGTCTACAACAGAAAATAATTTTGATTCCAATATCACTGACCTTCCTGGCTTCTCTAGATGTTTACAAAGCCTAGCTTTCACTTCGTCATAAGTCATGAACGCACAGTAACCCGGGTGGGTCACGGCAAGAAGATTCCAGTTTTGAAGTAGATGCGACCAAGGTTGAAACAGCCTTGTAAAGACATCATACTCAAATACAGATATGTGGTCATTACACGTCAGGTCTATTGTCGACTTCAATGCCATTGCCTCCAAACCAGAGCTGATATGATGTACTGTCTGAAGAGTTTGACGAAAATGCTTCCAGGACACTGTTGTTTTCCTAAAGAGAAGGTAGAAGAAAATAAATTTATAGCAAAAAGTGATTATTTGAGGAAGCCGAGGGAGGCGATTATTTGAAGGAGGTGATTATTTCAAATATTTTCATCAAAGGGAGGCGATTATTTGAGGGGGCGATTAATAGAGGGACAGCTATTATTCAAGGAAATACAGTTACCATATTTACTGATAATAATGATAGGCAATCTATGACACAATATATGTACATGCCATTTCTGAGATGCCTTTTGTCTCTGTTTCAAAATGAATCCAGGTGCTAAAACCTTTTATGTGAACATGAGTTCAATTTGCACGAAAATGAACTCATTAGTAAAACTCATTTTTGCACCAGAACTCGATTTGAAACTGAGGCAACAGGAACTCGGAAATGGCCTATTTAATAATAGTCACCTAATTTCATTCAATGACTGATTGTCGATTTCCAAAATTAATCAATTGATTGACATCTTGGCAGATATTATTGGTTTCTATTTATCATCAATTTCATTTTCCAAGTAAAAAATATCGCAAACATATGTTACAATCAACTTTCTGGATACGCATAACTAAGCCAATTTTGATAGCCATACAAAATGTTTTTAGCAACAAAAGATCTTTGAGCACCACCGGATTCATTATTTTTCAAAGCATTGCTCATATTGAATGGAAGTTAATTGCCTTCCCCATGTCACACTGTCACTCATATGGACAAATTATACAAAGCCAGACTTCATATCATACTTATTTGACTTCCAAAACAGTTTTATTCAAGTTGTTGGAATAAAATATTTCTTCAACTTTGATAGCACCAAAATGAATAATAAAATTATTATTTATAATTTTCATGGTCTTATAAACGAAAGAAGGAAATTAGAATGCCACTCCCAGAATTATTATTGCTTCTAAACGGTTTAATACTGTGTAATTATCTGCGTCCAATATGACCCATGAATATGATGAGTAATGACTTATGAGAATATGTTAAGTACAAAAATAAAACTCAATTGTTTACAAATGCTAGTCGAACATAACCAAACAGATGGAAGGGATATTCCGAACACAATAACACAAGGTGTGAATCATGTTAACGAGCTTTAAGATCTCTTCTTGAATGCAACTAGATTGTATTGGGATTTTTTTCATGTCTTAACACGAAAATAAGGCGAAACAATAACAATTATTGTAATATTTATAAACACAAAAGAGGAATCAAAATGCACAAGTTATTTAAGATCTTCATTAAAATGAAAGAAAAAAAAAACAGAAATCCCATCTGTGTATTTTTGGTTGATTAACTTGCTTTCACACAAGGGTGGAAGGAAGCTATTGAAAGGGAAGCTATTTATTCGTGATTCTATCGAATGGAAGCCCAACAATAAATAACCTCGCATGTACAATGCATAGCCTAAGTAAAGCTTGACACGCAATTTAATAAAGATTAATAATTCGCTCTTCGCCTTCGAAAGGCAATAAATGCGCCCATACGTTTATGAAATGAGGCAAATGAAGCTTTGCCCACCCGCAAAGTGTCAGATTTAGAAGCGCGATGAACCATTCTCTGTCATTCTCTTGTGAAAATGACCTATAAGCTGACTGTGTACGTAGCGACCACTGATCACATTCGATTATCAAAACAACGAAGACTGTAAAAATTAACATAACATTAACCTACCCGACACCGAAATTCTTTCTCCAGAATTCGCCAGCATCGTATTTTGTGATCCTGAAGCCGTCGCCTATATAAGTTCCTTGAGGAAATATTGCTTTAACCTCCGCTAGCATGTGACTGAAGACCAAACTCAGTTTTGTCAAGCTTCGTCTGTATGTCGAGTTTTCGTCGTACATTTTCTCCTTGCCCTCTTTGAAAAGCTTGATCGCCAGCTTCGATTGCTTCAGGAGGTTCTCTATGTATATCCTAAAATACTCACAGTCGTTCAAAATGTGCATTCTATCCTCGTACTTCGAGATAATTAACTTCAGATGCTGGTACGTATCGGGCAGAATGTCTAGAATATATGGGGGGCTGTTCTTGAGGTTCAATCGTTGGTTTTGACAATGCTTCACCACTTTGTCCATTAGCTTCCATGTTTTCTCGATGGTTTTCCTGTCGATCACCAAACGCGGAGTGACAGCATGAGCCAAAGCGTCTTGTAAACGCGTGAAAAACCTTGTGCTTCGACTGGGTGGACCAGCCGTGGCCATTTTGAGCCAGTCGCTCGACAATTTCCGTGTTCGACGGTGTCGCTGGTCACGTGACAGCAACATACAGCCAATCATGACGGGCGATAGTTCTGTAAGTGCGATAATTCCACGAATCTAACGTTTTCGTCGTTTAGATTACTTTTGTGTAGTGCTTCCTGCTTTTTGTGAATTTTCACGCGACAAAAACAACAGCCGAAGTCGTGCAGTCCAGCTTATTCGCTACTCCGAATATCCGATCGTGAGGTGAATTATAAAAATGTTTTCACGAAAGTTGATACCGCAGGTAGGCTGCATCCGGCCTGAGGCTATATACTTACTGATATACGCCTTCTTCTAAGTCTTGCGATGACGTAGACGTCTGTACAGCTGCGTGTTTCCTTTGAAAAGTAAAACAGTTCCAGAACGTTAAATTTCGTTCCGTAAAGCTACATATGTAGGTGATTGACGACGCAGAAAAGAATAGCAGTTGATTGGTTCAAAATTCTGTAAAATTCTATAGTGCAGGCAGGCAATCAAACTGATTGAGTGTTCAGTTGATGAAACTACCTCTGACCTATGAACAGTTCCACTCACATTTGCGCTTGAGAAATTGTAAGAAATTACATGAATTTCCTGTCGCGCTGACGGACGAGGGCGTCCAAAGCGCTTTACCTTCCAGGGCAGTACATTTCGCACTAGCACCGCACATCTGCAGTGATGGGCTAGCCCCTTTGTAGATTAACAATTTAGATTAGATTTAGATTTCCCACTCAGTTCAAGTTTGATTATCGACCTAACCTGCGATCAGGCGAATTTTTCCGCCGCGTTCCCATTTACTCTTCGTCTTTACGTGGTCGTGCGAAAAATTTGCCTAATTTGGAAAGTAAACGATCTTTATAAACTTCAAAGTAGCTGTCAGCTGTACATATCTTAACTTACCTTTATGGAATTCGATTTTCGAGTAGCTGATCGGATAAAGGGCCCTTGTAAAGATCTTCTGCGGTGCAGGACATATACTGGTCGATGACTACCACCTTGTTGAAGACTTAAAATAGTTTCTTCATCTATAGCCTAGCCGGTGCTACGTGAAAGGCAATCCGACGATTAGTGTTAATTAAAATTACTCAAAGTAACTTAGGGAGTGCCATTCAAATATTTATCGCGTATTTTCTCGAACAAAGATAAAGTCAATAATACAGAGGGTGTGTTTGCTGGTAAACCGATCGCTGTACCCCGGGCACACCTCGCGCGATCACGCGACCCACGCAAAATACTGGCCGACACATACTTCACGAACAACCGCGTCACAGCTGCTAAATAAAGCACAAAGTACTCTTGATGATATTAGCTATGTATATTTGCTATTGTAGACATTTATTTACATCGAACCTGCGCGCTTAAATTCTCGGCGAAATAAAGCTCCCTTCAGATAAACTCAAACTTATCTCAGTTCAAAGGTTTAACAATTTTTTAAGCTTGCCCAAAGGGGTTTATCTACTAAGTTGAGCTTCTTATCTGCTTGTTTTGGTATATTTTAAAGATAACACTAATCGCAATCTTTCGAAATGCAATAGGAATTGTACTGGAGAAATATTGGCCTCGAAAGTACATACCAAC